GGGTCTGCTGTTTATCACTGCTTCCACTTCGCACATCACAGTGTGCAGAAATTCGTCGTTAAGACACTGGAGCTTCAGGACACTGCTGAGTACCTTGCGCACTGTTCTTATTTGGCGCTCCCAGATTCTGCTATGGTGCGACCCAGCTGGCAGGTTGAAAATCCAGGTAACTCTTTGCAGCAGAGCTTCGGAAATCTAGTACTGATTCCATTCCTTCAAAGCCTTGCAGAGCTCGTGTTCTGTAACCACAAGGTTTGTACCGTTATCGGATCTCATAACCTTCACTTGTCCTTGTCTAGCAATGAAACATCTCACTGCATTTATACATGATTCTGTGTCCAGTGAGTGTGCGATTTCGATGTGGACGGCTCGGATTGTAAGGCAAGTAAACAAGACTCCATAGCCCTTGACTCACGCTCGTCCACGCTTGGCTTCAAAGGGGCCGAAATAATCTACGCCGACGTTGGTGAAAGATGGGTGATCTGGCTGAAGACGATCTGGTGGTAGATTTGCCATTTTCTGTTCACCAACTGCGGTTTGACTCTTTCGGCATTTCATGCACTTTGAAAGCACACTTCTCACTGCTGCATTCCCTTTGCATATCCAGACTCTTTCTCTCAGTCTAGCGAGTTTGTGGTTCCTCCCTCCATGCCCGGTCTCCTCATTAGCCTCCCTGATGATCAGAGTTGTGACATGATTATTCTTGGCTAGAATAGCCAGATGCCTTGTGTGTTCCGGCAAGGCTGCCTGGTGCAGTCTTCCACCACCCTGGGGGACACCATATTGGAGGAACGGATCCAATTTCACGATGAAACTACTTCTCTTGACCTTATCACCCTTCTGCAGTGCACAAAGCTCTTCATGAAAGGTTTGTCTTTAGCTGAACTGAATGATGGCAGTTTCCGATCTCCTGATGTCCTTGACGGCCTGATGGGTTTCTTTCAGACCAGATTTCCACTTCTGAATATGGTTTTCAACAATCTTGGGTTTCACAATTTGACTATCTTGAGACTGGGTTTGAGACTCAAAGATTTTCCTTTGTTCACACAGATTTCTAAGCAACTCCTTCAGCTTCAACAGGCAGGCGACGGCCTTCCTTAGACTGTGCCAGTTAGAATAATGATAAATCAGCTTGATGAGTGGGTCTGTTCTTGAGGTTGATGAGGTTCACAGTGATCTTGCGCTTCACCTCGGCATCGTCATCGCTTATCTCTCTTGGGAACTCTGAGAGGACTGGACAGTGAGGCTCGTCCTTAGCAAGGAAGTCAGGTCCTTCAATCCAACTCTGACACTCCATAAAATGCTCTGCATTCATTCCTTGTGATGCGTGGTCAGCTGGATTAGAAGATGTACAGATGTATCTCCACTGTGCTGGCCTTGTGTACTCCCTGATTGTCGACACTATTCGCTATGAAGGTTTTGAAACAAGCACAATCATTGTCAATATATCGGAGGACAGTGGTGCTATCTGTCCATAGCATGGACTCCTTGAGGTCCATCCGAAATTCTTGCTTCATGAGCTTGTCCATTTTCACCACGATGGTAGCTGCAGTCAGCTCAAGACGTGGGACAGTAACTGGCTTGAGCTGCATCATACTAGATTTTCCTAGCACAAATGAGCAATGGACTTGTCCATGGCTGTTCTTAATGTGAATGTAGCTGACGACTCCATAGCCCTTCTCGCTAGTGTCAGAAAAATGGTGTAGCTGCGCTGACACTACTGAACCAAATCCCTCCGGTTGGATGCACCTCTTGACAGAGAAACTGGCGAACCGGCTCAAGTCAGTCAGCCAGGTAAACCATCTGTTCACAATTTCTTCAGGAATGTCATCATTCCAGGTAAGTTTCAATCGACAGAGATTTTGCACAATGATCTTAGCCAAAAGGATGAATGGTGACAGGAAGCCAAGGGGGTTGTAAATTGAGTTTACAACTGAAAGGATACCCCTTCTGGTGACAGGCATATTCTTCACAAGAATGCAGCTTGAAAGAATCGGATTCTATGCACCAGTCCACTCGAAGCGCCCTCTCCATGGGTTGCTCATCCCTGTCCAGATCTAGATTCTTGATCTCCTTCGCACGCTCATGTTCGGGGGGTGATGACAATACTTCACGGCTGTTGCTATACCATTTAGCCAAATGGAATCCTCCACTTTTGCAGAGTGCAATGAGGTCTTTGGTCAAGGTAATAGCCTTCTTCTCATCAGACACTGAGACAAGACAGTAATCTACATAGAAGTGCTGGAGAATTGTGGTTACTGCCTAAGGTGATGACCTATCTTTCCCATCCTCTGCAGTCCGGCGCAAAGCGTAGTTAGCAAAGCTTGGGCTGGACTTGGCCCAGAACAGGTGCACAACCATCTTATACTCACGCAGAGGCTGGTTCAGATCTCCCTCTGTCCATCAGAGGAATCGCAAAAGATCAGAATCTTCGTCAGAGACTCTCACCTAGTGATACATTGCCTCTATGTCTGAGATGAGTGCAATGTGATCAAGGCGAAATCTTGTCAGGACTCCAACCAGACTGTTCGTGAGGTCCGGCCCCTGTAACAACTCCTAATTCAACGGCTTCCCTTGGAAAGAAGAGGTGCAATCAAAGACGACCCGCAACTTACCCTTCTGCAGATGGATCACGCCATGATGGCGAATATACCATACTTGGCCATCGTTGTGGTTGCACTCATTGGCAGGGACTTCTACAGCGTTGCCTTTGCTCAGCAGGTCTGACACGAACGCTGTGTAATCGTCATGAAAGCTGGAGTTTCTAGCAAGTTTCCTTTTCAGGCTCAATGCTCGATGCTCAACAACACTCTTGTTGTTCGGCATCACAATATCTTTGTTTTTAAGAGGCATACCAATGCAGTAGTGTCCATCGATTTTCTTGGTTGTTTGCGTCACACGCTGTATGAATTTAATGTCTTCTTGCAACATTTCTGACTTCTCTTCGCAGGCTTGTTCCGGAAAGTCATGATTGTACTGCTGCAACAGCATGTTTTCCACACTACTGACTGACACTCTGTTGACTGAAGCACCATGACTGAAGTGACTTGGTGGTTTGTCTTCATTCTCTTTCTTCAGAGGGCCATTCACTAACCAGCCAAGGGTTGTCTTTATGGCATAAGGCCCGTCATTTTGACTGTGGATTATCTTCCACAGCTCCATTGCAGAGTATGCATTCATTCTGATGAGCAACTCCACATCTGCATTGATCTGTGGTAACTGCACTTCCTTCCCCAGATACGGTCATCTTTCCAAGTCTTTCTCTACCGGAACATTCTCCCTGTTACCTTCCCTTGTGTAACTCTTATTTCCATGTTACACTAGTAGGTCTCCGTTAGAATGACTCAACAGAGTAATGCCTTTATCTAAAAATGTTATTTTGTGCTTGTTTGTATTGAGAAAAGTTAGGGAAATAAAAAAAAAAGTAGATGTGTATAAAAAAAAAAAAAAGGGTAGAAAAATAGGTTCTCTGGAAAAGATAAAAAAAAATTTTATTTATGGTCAAAAGATGAAAACAGATGCTGGATATGTACAATACTAAATACAATCTGTCATTTCGTAAATAGAAAAATCTTGCAAAATATTTGATTCATCATGTCATCTTGTCTATGTTGTATTTCTGTTTGTATTTTAACTGGTGTGCCGTCTTGGCCAGGTCTCCCTCGAAAAAGAGATTTCAATCTCAAAGGATTTCCTGGTTAAATAAAGGTTAAATAAAAAAAAAATTAAAATACAGCTACTTTTATGAGCATATAAATTGATTTGGCCTACATAAGCATTTGTCAACAAGTTCTAAGAGAAACAGTCTGTTCTGTCAGTTTTTGCTTGTTTATAATGTACTATCTTGACTTTTATACTGTAATTAACCTATAAATTCTACTTAAATGGGTTAAATAAAAATATATTTTTTCCAAAATAAAGCAAAGGTTTCAGGCAGATTGTCGTACTGTAAAATGAGGGTTGTAAACTGCTGATTGAGTTTCAACTAGAACTCTCTGCTGCCTTCATTTCATGCAATGACAGATAAAGACAAAAACTCACTCTACAACAAGACTGAAGGAGAAGTTAGTAGGGTATAGAAAACATAACTGGGTGGAAAATATTCAATAGTTTAAGTTCTGCTCTTCAGATTGTCTGCTGCAAAGATGACTGCTACAATTCCCAGAAGGCTGAGGCCAACAAATATTTGGACACGAAGTATTTGCAAAAACTTAAAGGGTTTACTTCCAAACATATTATGAAGCTCAAACCCCTTCTTCTAAACGATGATGCTAGATGGGTCCATCAAATTTACACTTAAAATGTCCTGCAGTTTTACAGAATTCACCATCTGATAAGGCTTCTTCTTTTTAGATAGAGAGCAGCATTCAGTAGATGGCAAAACCCAGACCTGGAGGCCTGGACCTCCTGCTCCGTCTATCAAATGTGGTATCAAATGTAAACAATGTTGAAGAAAAGACATGGCGCAAAAATGCATTATTATTATTATTTTTAATATTGCAGTATTGTGAATTCTCCACCAGACCACAGCATTACCAAATGAAGTTAGTATACCTTCTCATGTCATCATAGGTCAAGCATTGGAATGTCCCTTTGGTTGACTTGCTACCATGCACACACACAAGATCAGTAACAGAAAACAATGAAATAAAAATAAATTGATCTTCAATAAACCATGCCACTAGAAATCTCCAAAATTACCCCCTTTTTTTATGAAGCAAAAATACAGGCAGCTGATTAGTGAGCTGCAGGAGTTCACCATTGCTAGGTGAAGCTCAGTTATCGATGTATGACATTTACTTTCCACACCCACAAAGGTATAAAACAACAAACAGACGTGCATATCTGATCAGAACCCTTAATAAACCTAACCTTATAACCTTCATACAGTCTATTTATGGCCAGAGTCCATCTCAGTGAAGGTTTGACCTCCATGTAATCAAAATGTTGCCATGAGTTTCTATTTAATAGGAAATGAGAGCCTTCAGCTTGAGATAATAAACGCCAGGACAGGGATTATTTATCTATATGGTGCCGCACCTTTAGGATGAGAGAAGAAATAAGAGCAGAACCTGAGAAGGTTTTATTTACTAGAGACGGCAAACAGCTGGAAGATGAGGTGAGTCATTCTTTTTGCTGATTTTACATACACCGGTATTAAGTTAGTCAAGCTTTAACAGTGATCTGTTTACAGAGTCAACGTTAAACTAAAACTGGAGCAGTTTCTATTTAGAGCTCCTTTAATAACATCCATCTGCTCGTCATTCTGACTGAACCGACACCGGTCACAACGATGGATCGTTACGTACTTACTGATCGGACTTTATATTATTCAATATGTGATCAACTTTTTACTGTCATAGTGTATGTTGTCCTGTTAACACACACCTAACTAGCTGGGTTAGGGCAAAAGGTGAAAGTTAACTGTACACATAAACGGATTAGTTTTACAAAAACCTCCATTCAAAATATAAACATTTATTATAAAAAATATTTAATCTCTAGATCAAACATATTTTAGTGAAAAACTCTTAACTAGTGAAACTGAACTAAACCAAGTAGCAACTATGTTCACATAGAAGAACATAGTTGCTACAACGCAAATAAAAAAAATAATATTAATAAAATGATGCAATGATGGATTTGTGTTTGAGAGTTACATTTTTACTTAGTTTTACCAATAGTCAGATTAGCTTTGAATCTAATTTAGAGGTAAATAAAGCATTATCTGGTAAATAATGTTTCATTAAAAAAAAAATAAATAAGGAAAAAATCTACATCTATTTAGATAATTGATCTTAACGTTACGTGTTGGTTTCAGGGCAGAATAAACGCGGGTAGGAAGCTCAGTGAAAGAGGGGTTAGCCTCTGGTTAGCTACCATTAAGTCAGCAGCATGTGGTTGCTATTAGATTTGCTGGCACAATTTTGGAACACAGTATAACATTAATCATGAAAACTCCAAAAATGTTTAGCTGACATGCTGCATTTTTCCAAACCGCTGCCATTGTTGAATGATGATGAGTCTAAAGTGATGCTTAGGGAAGCTGGGGATTTCATTGCCTTGCTGGCAGAGATGGCAAAAGTACTCACTTTCCGTACTTGAGTAAAAGTACAGATACTTGTGTTAAAAAATACTCTGGTAAAAGTGGAAGTACTGATTAAACTTCTTTACTCAAGTAAAAGTAACAAAGTACAGGCTTGTAAATTTACATAAAGTATAAAAGTAAAAGTAGAAACCACTTTTTTCATGCCGTTGCCTACATTTTAAATGGATGTCTGCCAATAGGACTAGATCTCCGTTGTGTTCATTTTCAATCATCTCGTCGTCCATGCTACTATGCTAACGCCACCGCCACCAAGCTGCAATGATTTGCCGCCAATGAATACCGCCGAATCTGTCGATTCATCTTGTAGTGGTGCGTCAAATGCAACGTAGATTCCCATCCAATTAGATTGAATTTGGTATTGATGACGTGAAAAATAATAACGGTAACTCCATTGAAATGATTCAAAACTAAAGTAACAAGACAATTTTTTAAAATGTAAGGAGTAGAAAGTACAGATATTTGTGTAAAAATGTAAGGAGTAGAAGTAAAAAGTCGCCATAAAAATAAGTAGTAAAGTAAAAATATCAGAAAAATCTACTTGAGTACAGTAACTAAGTATTTGTACTTCTTTACTTCCCATCTCTGCTTGCTGGGATGCTTGGTTGATTGAGGGTTCATCAGTCTCTTTGACCTTTGGCTGAAATACTGCAAACTTGAAGAAAGAATTTTGCAGACAGTCTGTTCAAAGCGAACTGGTTCAGCAAGTATCTTTTAGGTCTGCTTAACTTTTCACATTCGGAAGAGTGAAATTCTCCAGCCTGCAGGGAAAGCCAGTCAGATATCTGATAATGCAGCCTGGGCAAGGTCCACAGGAAGAGAGTGAGAGGCGGGGATCTCATGCTTTTATAGCAAGCACAGTAGGAGGCCTCATACTGTAAAGGCTACTGCCTCGCCCTACCCACTTCTTCATTCATTTGCAAGAACCTGCAGGGGGTCGGCTATATTAAGCCCTTTCTGAAAGCAATTAGTTAAGAGTGTGAGTGGTTTATGAGGCCCTCCACAACAAGTGAGCAGCAGCAAATTGTGGTCGGCATGGAGAACGAGACGTAACTTCTGCGTATGCATTTCATACATTTACTTAGTAGAGAAACACCCCAACAAATATCATTTCAAATAGGCTTTATAAATCATTTTGCTAAAGGTGGAATTGTTTGGACAAGTTATTACAGTTTGTCACAAGGTCATAACTGAGAACTCTGGTTCTGATTGAATGTTTCCTAGGGTTTATTAAAGTAGCCTTGATTTGATCATTTATCCTTACAGGGGGCAAAGGTTAAACTCTGCAGCACATATTGATCCACCTGTTGATTCAGCAATATTAATGCACAGAACGTGCATGCAAGTCTATAGCAAGACTTTGAAAACTACTGAGGTCCACTGAAATATTTTTATATAAAAGAAAACAAACATAAAAACGAGGGCTTTATTAAGAAATACACATATTTTGTGTATTACTTAATAAAACCAAACATCCTCAACTTCTAAAAACTCATCTAAATTTATAGAGACTATTGAGAGTTAATCCATTTAAATTAGTTAAATAAAACAGGATGAATTTGGTGCAATTTTTAAAGCTTTTGCATTTATTATTTTCATGTTGTTCATTCAATAAAAGAGACGTCTCTATACTGCCACCTGTAGCCAAACCACAGAACGGCAGCACTCACTCTTCTGTTCATTCTTGTAACACCCATATGGAGTAAACAAGTTTGCTTTCTTTCACTTTTTTTTTTTCTTTTCCTTTTTCCACCTAACATTGTTGTCTGAGGTGAGTTGGATGCTGGTCCCTTCAAATATCCACGAAATCCATCTAGAATATAAAGCTTCAACTGTTCGCTATATCCGTCCGTCCGTCTGTCTGTCCTCTCTCATCAACTCTGAAGAGCTTCTCTTTTCTTGCATAGGAATAGCACCCCCACAGGACGATGCTTCCACCACAGGGACGGCATGATTAGGTTTTCGGTATTTTTAGTTCCCACTACATAAAGGTCTTGAGTTGACCAAAATGAGCACTAAATAAAGTTGGTAGAAAAAAAAAACAGCATTTGCAATCAGTGGATGTGTTTTGGTTGAACTCCAATAATAGCAAGTGCAATTGCTCCACTGATATAAACAAATAATGTGCGATACTGCCAGAATTTCAGTGTCTCTAAAAGAAAGATAAAGCTCTATCTGAGGAAAAGGTAAGAAATATTAAAAAAAGATTTAAAAGTCAATAATAAATATAATGTACACCACATGTAACATCAGAATATCAGAGTGCTATAAACAAAGTAAAAACAGTAAAAACTGTGTCAGCAGCCAGGTGAAAAAACGCAGCAAACAGCTTAAGGAAGCGTAAAACGTATGATGCAAACTCCAAACCAGCTGAAAAAACATATGCAATAGAAAATACTGCCATTAAAAAATGCTGCAACCCTTGAAAAAAGAAGCTAAAGCCGACAGTCAATAAAAAAAAAAAATGCTTAAAAAATACTGCAACAAAAGTACGAAAAAGAAAAAATGTATTATATAGGAAATGTTGTCTTTGTCTGCTCCTTACATCTGCCTTTCAAAGACACTAAATATAGATGAAACAACTGGACCTGCTTTGATAAATCAATTAACAGTTGGTATTTATATGTGTTCATGAGAATATTTGATGGTCCTGAAAACACCTTTGAGCCCATAAATCATTTTGGACATTATATAAAGATGGTCTGGGTGAAAATACATTTGGATGTCTTGTAAGACACAAAAACCTTTTAAAGATCAGTTCAGAAGGAGCCAGAGCTCCTTTTTTCACCTGTTTGCTGTTTCTCCTGGTTTTAACTAAAATAGGAAAAACCTTCTTCTACAGCTTTGTTCCACTCTGAGTTGGTTTATCAGATGAAATACACAGAAAACTCTTGTGAAATGATAGAGTTAACGGGACTTAATTATTTTGCTTTCAACACGATTCTAGAGTTGATGAGGATTTTCTTTTTAATCTCTGGAAAAAAATTTCTGTCAGGATCTAGCTTTGTTTTGATTCTGAAAGATCGCCAAAGCAGGATTTTATCCGATCCCTGATTTCAAATATCAGAACATCTGAGAATTGTACAGAAATTCTCCTAATCATAAAAACCTGCAACTAAAAACCTGGAGCAGGAAATAGCTTCTCATAGGATCAGAGCTTCAGATGCTGGAAATGCAGTAATTACCAAATTCAATTCATACTCGCGAGGAAAGCAGGAAGAGACTGCAGAGTTTACAAATCTCCACCCCACTCTGCAGTCCCAGCGTTCTCCTCGCTATTTATTGGAAATCAGGGGTCGCTGGTTACAACAGCTGAGACTGCTCTGGAGATGAGAAACAACATGAGAAATTCAGACTTGCAGTCTCAGTAAACATCCTATAAATTTCAGGGTTCAGTCAAAGTTTAAGCTGTTGAAGCTGTTCATCGAAGTTCAGCAGGTTGAGTGCTGCTCGTAGATCAACCACAACCTCCCTAAAAGCAAATCTACAAATCAAAGTATACTTCAGAAAAGATGGCTATAAACACATGCACATAGATAACACTACACAGATACATTTATATACAATTATTCTAACAAATGAAACCAACGTTTTTACTACATCTGTTGAACTTTCTTTTACTGTTCCCCACAATATTTGACATTTCTGCAGCTGCAGGTTAATTGCTATCATGTTTATTGTCTCCTCAGTTCTGCTCAGAGTCTGGAGAACAAACTGGAGTGCCACTTCACCTGGAACCTCGATCCTGGAAGTCACACATTTTCTCGTATAGGGAGGGTTGTGGAGGACTTCGGCACAGATGAGGGAAACATCTGGCTGGGTCACATTTACAACCTGCAGGGGTTCATCCAGTGCAAGCTGGGCTCCTCTGAAGAGGCCCTGAAGTCCTTCAGCCGAGCCACTGAGACCTTCCAGTGTCTTAAAGGCTCTGATGAAGGTCCCTGGTTGATAGTGAACTATGGGAATCTGGCTTGGCTGCACCATCATATGGGCGAAGACGAGAAGAGTCAGGATTACCTGTCAAAGGTTGAAGCTCTGATGAGTGAATACCCAGCACCACCTGAGGAAGAGCTCCACCCAGAGGTCTGTGCTGAGAAGGCCTGGACCCTGATGAGGTTTGACAAGGAGAAAGCTGCAGAGTTCTTCCAGAGAGCCATAAAAATGCAGCCAAATAACATAGAATGGCAGAGCAGCTCTGTGATGCTATCAGCAGACACCTTCAAGGGCAACATGAGCGAAATTACTCCTGATGTCCTGAAGAGCCTGAGATCCGCCACAGAACGAGATCCAGAAAACCTATATGTTGCTGCTCTTTATTTGGAGGCAAGAGCTGCAAAAGGAGAACGAATTCAAAAGGAAGCTCAAGCATTGGCTGAAAGAGTACTAATGAGGTCTCCAAGCTTTTACAGTGGAATGAGACCGTTACTGCGCCTTTACAGACATTATATATCTAAAGATGAAGCTGTTGAGTTAGCTGAGAAGGCCCTGAAGAGACATCCTGACTCACGTGTTTTAAAGAGAAGTGCAGCTATCTGCTACATGAAAAAGATTTTGTCTGCAGACTGCAAACACAATACTCCAAGAGAAACAATCAGTCGAGCCATCAGTCTCTGGGAGGAAAGGATCGTTCTCTTTGAGGAATCAAAGCTTAGAGTTCAAACGACTCTGGCTGATTTATATGCAAAGGTTGACATGAAGAAAGCCGACCAGATTTATGAAGAAATGCTGAATAGAGAAGATCTACATTTAGCTGAGAAACAGATGCTTTACAACTATTATGCTAAATATTTATTCTTCAATAGAAAGGATAGTCCCAGGTCTATTGAGTACCACATTAAGGCCGCAGAGATTCCAGTAGAATCCAATCATCGACAGACGAGCATCAAAGAGCTGGAGAAGACCTTGAAAAGAAGCAGAAACCCTCAAATGTGTGAAGAGATCTGGAGTATTCTGAACAGCCTAGAAAAATCAGCCTGAAACGCAGAATCAGTGAATAATAAAAAACAGGGTTCCCACAGGTCCTTAAAAAGTCTTAAAAGGCATTGAACTCTTCAAAATAAAACTAAGGCCTTAATTGGTATTAAAATGTCTTAAATCAGTCTTTCGTAGGTCTTAATTTTTAAAACATCATAAATAGGATTATTTTTATTACGATTTATTTTTGTAATTAAATAAAACATTAAAATTGAAAACTTTTTTTTTTTTTTTTAAATAACGGCTCGCCATTATTGGTTCCGTCCCGATAGCGGAACCAATAAAGCGTTGTTGCGGCCGGGACATTTGGGAGATGCTCCATTAACTTTTTGTCTGGAAAATATGAGCAAGTGTAAATGTAACCAAAATTGTCTCCAGCCAAGAGTTTTCTCCATGGCTAAAACCAGGGAACATACATGAGGCTCAGTGGATTTAGTGCAAGAAGTCATTCAAGCTCAGAACGATGGGAATTAAGGCAGTGGAGTCGCACATGCGAAGCACGAAACACAAAGCGTCAAAATGGAGTTAGAGAGAAACAGCCGGTATTTCTCAGTTTAGTTCCACCCTTGTCTCTGCAACGCCTCCACTTATCACCAAATCAAACATACTAAGAAAACCATACAAAGAAAAATAGCTGCAAAAAAGACTTAGCACTGGTTATGTTGGGGCTTTAAAACTGATTTGTTTTGTTCCCTGCTAAAACAAAGTTTGTGAATTTAGTTAAATAATTGTTCAAATATATCTGTCATTTGTGTGTTTTTAGCTTTCTTCCGGTATGGAAAGCTTTTCAACATTTGAAACATTAGTGCAGTGGTTTATGTTAAAATAAACCTTTGGGTTAAGTTGTAGCAAGCAGGTTTTTCTTGTTTCTTGTGAATCTGGTCTTAAATTTTTATTTCAAGTGGCATTAAAAAGTCTTGAATTTAACTTGCCTTATGCTGTAGGAACCCTGGAGAAGCAATCTTAGAGCACAGACCTCTCTGCCAAGCGGAAAATTGTCACCTATAGCTAAAACTCGCACATTATCTGGATCATTGGCAAATTCAAAGAATTGTTCCATAAAATCTGTTCATAAGTTTTCAGTTGATCCTGCTAACAAACCAACAAAATTCCCTTTTCTTTTGTTTTTGTCTTGAATAAAATGGCTGGTTATCATCCCGCAGCAGCGTGTCGCAGATATTTTTTATTTATGCCCAATTTTTAAGGGTGGTCTTCGCTATGTTATTCCACGCCACAACGCAAGAAAGAAAATCACAAACTAGCTAGGATTGAGGGCATCCATGGGTCGGTTTGACGAGCTTGTTCGCCGTCTACAACCCGTCATCCAACGCTGGACGATGCACGGTTCACCCGTGAGTGTTCCCCAAAGACCGGCCGTGGCGCTGCGTGTTTTGGCTTCGGGTGCAAACCAACAGACCGTCGCACAGAGCTACAAACTAGCCTCCTGTACGCCGCCTGGCATAGTGTCCGAGGTGGACGGCGCTACAGCCAGAGTTTCTGCCGTTAGGTACCAAACAGGAAATGTGCATAGTGAAGAGCGGATGTAGAATTGACCAATCAGAGGCCTCTTGTCTGCGGCGCTGTCTGCAGTCACCTACAATTTTGGAGAGGTGCGTCAGAGTGTCTGCGGAAGGTGGGGGGTTGTGGGGGCACATATTAGCGATAACTGCGACATACAGACGACCTGGTTTCTGAGCATAAACCAGGCTTGAGGCTGTCAATAGTCACTGCTGCCACCCTCTGGTTTATTGGGGAACTGCTTGTTCCGCCAAATATCTCACAAAGTTAGAGAATCTCTAAAAATTTCTGTATCCAGATTATGATGTGGATCATCCCCAACCTTTAATGGATTGTTATTTTGCATGAGGGACACCTCAGATTTCATTCAAATCTGTACATAACTTTTCAAATTATCCTTTACACACACAGACAGACAAACTCTCCCAAAACATTGTAAAGAAATCACAACCTGCAGGTAAAACTGCAGCCAATGATTTCTCCTGGCTGCCACCTGATTTATATAAATGAATGATTAACAGGCTTCTGCAGCACTTTTAGGCTGCTAAGGAGGTCATGCAATTATTTGAATCAGGTGTGCTGCAACAGAGACACATTGCAAACATTAGAGATTATCCATTTTGTTATCCAGTGAGCGGAAATAAGAAAGCAGGTTTGAGGGTATCAGTGTTCTGAGGGGATTCGATCTTAGCTTTGCCATTAGACCCCCTCTGCAGCCACGCTCACGCCGTCTAGCACCCACTTCCTGGCCCGCTCAGCCCACCCGCTGCCTTGTTTGCATCCGTCCGTAGGCCTCCACAGCTTTTTAAGCGGTCAAGAGTGGCTGTATCTAAAGCGTTTTGTGACTGTAGCTCCAGCAGGCATTTGATGTCGTAGATGCAGGATCGATGCCTGATTTGTAGCGTTCTGAAAACAAAGCTGTATGAGGTCGCTGCAGCCAAGCACTGTTAATGATGGAGCGCTGATTTGACTGTGATCTGGTTGAACTGTAAAGCGCCTTGAGATTACATGTGTTGTGAATTTGCGCTATAGAAATAAATGGAATTGAATTTAAATTGAATTGAATTGAATGTGCTCCATCAAACCTGATTCACTAAAGTGTAAAAAGATTTTTCTGTGAGATTTGACTACTTTGTTTTTATTTTGGATAAAATCCTAATGGATTTGCATCATCAATTGGTCTGAAAACTCTCCAATTTCTCTAAATAAGTGAAAAGCTAATTTGATCCCAAATTCTTCCAGATAAACTTTGGTTTTCAAACACAAAATCCATCTTAAACTTTTTTAAGTTTCCCCTTCCTCTTTGTACATAGAATTTTAGTTTAATTGAGTTTCACTAGTTTTACTTAAGAGTTTTAAACAGAAATATTTTTGACTTGGAGCTGAATGATTTTTGTTAATAAACTCTTATATTTTGAACAGAAGTTGTGGTGAATTTATTCCATGTATGTGCAGAATTAACTGTTTGACCACTATTAGAGCTCGAATCACTCTTTTTTTATTTATTGTTCTAACACACAGTTAGTAGGGCTGTGTGTCATAAATAGTATATAACAGCCGAAATAATAATTTTTACCACCCCTACTGGAGAGGACAATAAACATCTTAAAGTATCAGAAAATATGAATTGCCAGCTGGCTGGGAATTAAATATACAGCTATTCACAACAGTAATAAAACTGATTTGCTAATGGCTCGTGGTTTTTGAACTTTGACCTTATCTAGATTTCAGGTTTGGTCAAACAGGTTTTTGTAGCCCTGAAATATCTGAAGGGTCATGGAGATGTAAGCATATAAATCTCTGGAATGTGACTGAGACTGATAAGTTAAAGGTTTTTGTTTGAACTCTAGTTAAAAGACAAATACTCACATTATTTATCCAATGTGAGAAATGAAACCGTTCCTATCAGTAAGAATCTGTTTTTCCATCAAGCAGAAATAGAAACTGTTTCATTTTATCTTTCGAGTTGCAGAAGTTCACTGTTTCCTGGTAGAGCTCAGCAATAAAAGTCATGTGTTACCATGAAAGTTATTTTCTTTCACCTGCTTATAAAAGCATAAAACTATAAATACACGCACATATCTAATCAGAAACTATTGCTTTCTGTCCTTATTTTGGTGGGAATCAGTCTCTTAGTCACAATTCTGTTAGTTTCTATTTAATGAGAAACTAGTTTGTACTTTCAGCTGAAAGTCATTAACACGAAGAACTGTGATAAAACATTTTTATGGTGCTGCGCCTCAGAGGATATAAGAGAGCAGAACCTGAGGAAGCTTCACTCATCAGAGACCTCAAAAAGCTGGAGAATGATGTGAGTCGATCTTTTTGCTGATTTTATATGCACAGATTTTTAATCATTGATAATAATATGTATACAGGTTTACTCCGACCTAAACATGTATATAAATGTACTCTTTATCAGACGATATTGTCCCAAAATTTAGAACATCCAGCCATTTTCTTACACGCTTAATCCCAAGCGGGGTCGCGAGGGGTGCTGGTGTCTATCTCCAGCTCATCCAGGTTTTTATGTCTTCAGACATGCCTGTAATCTATGTAACGGGTTACCTTCATCTGGATTATAGACAGATATAGCTGGGTATCATCAGCATAATATTGGAAATTAACCCCATGTTCTACCATATAGAACATGGGGTTATATATCTATATATATATATAGATATATATATATGGATATATATATATCTATATATATCCATATATATATATCCATATATATATAGATATATATATGGATATATATATATCTATATATATCCATATATATATATATCCATATATATATATATACATATATATATATATATCTATAGATATATATATCTATATATGTATATATATATATATATACATATATATATATATGTATGTATATATATAGATATATATATATATCTATATATCTATAGATGTATATATATGTATATATAAAGATATATATATATATATATATATATATATATATATATATATATATATATATATATATATATATATATATATATATATATATATCTATATATATATAGATAGATATCTATACATTTATACTATACTAAACATTTTTATTTGTTTCTTAATTTTTTCCTTTGAATGATGTGTTTTAATTGGCTTAAATATTTTAATCCAGATAAATTCTGAGCTGTAATTATTTTCCCACCTTTGTTGGATCTTACTTTATGTTCTCATCATAAAGTCTTGACTCTTTTTTTAAGTTATTATCTCCTTTTTAAGAATATATCACATAATTTATTTCAAAGAAGCAAATTAAAATCCCAGATGTGATCAATCTTTTTTCTTCTTTATCTGATTTTCTCATCAGTTCTACAGACGCCTTGGAGTCCAAACTGAAGGCCTTGCAATGCCACTTCACCTGGAATCTGGAACCTTCCAAGTTCAAACTGAACTATCTCAGGGATGCACTGGAGGACATCGCCACGGATAAGGGAAACGTCTGGCTGGGTCACGTCTACAACCTGCAGGGGTTTATCCATCAGAAGCTGGGCTCCTCTGAAGAGGCTCTGAAGTTCTTCATTCGAGCCACTGAGACCTTCCAGCATTTTAAAAGCTCTGAAGGTCCTTGGTTGATGGTGAACTTTGGGAATCTGGCTTGGCTGCACCATCTTATGGGTGAAGATGAGAAGAGCCAGGATTACCTGTCAAAGGTTGAAGCTCTGATGAGTGAATACCCAGCACCACCTGAGGAAGAGCTCCACCCACAGGTCTGTGCTGAGAAGGCCTGGACCCTGATGAAGTTTGACAAAGAGGAGAAGCTGCAGGCTGCAGAGCTCTTCCAGAAAGCCGTGAGGATGGAGCCAAACAACGTGGAATGGCAGAGCAGCTGGGCAATATTATCAGCAGATTCCTTCAAAGCTGCAATGAAGAAAATGACGCCTGAAGTTTTGGAAAAAGTGAAATCTGCCACAGAACGAGACCCAGACAACTTATATGTCGCTGCTCTTTATCTGAATGCACAAGGTGCAAAGGAAAAACAAATTCGGGATGAAGCAAAATATTTAGCTGGAAAGATTCTAGAAAAGCCGATGCACAACTACTGTGGGATCAACCTGCTAATCAAGCTGTATAGAAAGTACTTATCTGTAGACGAAGCCGTTGAAATAGCCGATGAGGCATTGATGAGACATCCTGATTCACGTTTTGTAAAGAGGTCTGCTGCAAAATGCTACACTAAGAAGATCTTTTCACAGGAAGGCAATCCTGATCCCAGAATTATCAACAAAGCAATCAGTCTGTGGAAAGAAGTGATTGATGCTTACCCTGAATGTTCCCTGAAAGAAAAAATATCTCTAGCTGACGTCTATAGAAAGGTAGACATAGAGAAAGCTGAGCAGATTTACAGAGAGCTTCTGGAGAGAGAAGATCTGGATCCGGTAGAAAAACAGATGCTTTACAAATATTATGCAAGCCATTTATACTTCGATAAGAATGAAACATTCAGGTCTGCTGAATACCTCATGATGGCAGTAAAGATTCCAGAAGAATCCATTTATCGACGGTTGAGCATCGCTTAACTGAAGAAGATCTTAAAAAGAAGCAAATACCCAGAATTACGGGAAAGGATTGAGGAGCTCCTGACAGGCCTAAACATATCAACCAATTAAAAAAAAAACTGAAAAAGTGCCTGAGATCCTAACGATGATCATATAAAATAATTGTGATGTTTGTTATAAGTTAGATTTCTCTTGTTTCATATATTTAGTTGTGCTATTTATCCAGTGAAAAATGTTTTTACTCAGTCTGTTTCACATGCAAAGCCATAAATGTCTGAGTGAAAAAGTGTTTTACATACAAGGAGTATTTATTCCATGACAAACCAAATTCTTTCCCAAGAATTGTTATAGTTTAACTTAAGTGTGTGTAATGTGTGTTTTGAGACAACGTTCACGGCTTTTTCCTCGTTATTAGTAAGGGATCAGAACAGGGCTGATTACCAAGCAAACCGGCCGTATGATGAACTGTTCTCTCTTTGCAAAGATCAGAATAAAGCGCAGACTGAGTGAAATCCATCGATCTCTGTTTATTTAACTGGGGTGAATAGTTGAATACTTTTTTCCCACTACAGCTACTAATACAAAAAAGATTCAAACAGAAAGAAAAATGTCAGAAAAAGTGTTGAATTTGAGGCTTTATACAGTGGACCAAAAACAAAAGCTTGTTTTGGCTTAGACAACATGGTTTTGTTTTTGATCAACTCTATAAAGTCTCAAACTCAACACTTTTTCTGACATATCGAATTGAAAAAGCTTCCTGGATGGGAAGCGAAACGTCTACAAACTTGGAAACAAAGTCCAGTGGATTGTTTAATAACTCTTATGGAATGTATGATAATCTTCACCAGCGTAAATTAAAATCCAAATTAAGTCTGCAAAGGTCAGGAAGAAAGCAGAAGGATTTTGATTTTAATAAATTTTCCTCTTACTGCTAAATTAAAACAGTTTTATCCAGAGGTCTTTAACAGAGGGGTCCATGACCCCCTAGGGGTCCACAGAGGTACTGCATGGGGGTCGCAAAAGTTTTGGTTGATAAGACTTTATTTTGATATATTCCCTCCCTGCAGTTTTTCCACTAATTAAAATGTCTTTAAATCCACATTAACATGAATTCAACAGACTGCAGTAAACAGATAAATGGAGGCAGAAGATGTCTTTCAGTCATCAATGCTCACATTCAGCGACACACAGGAGCTCTTTCAAGCTGGGCACCGTTTCATTCACAACACCTGTCCCATCAACCAGGAAGCAGGAATACTCTAATAATCCCAGGGAGGGATTACTTTAGTTACATTACTCCATGGACCCCCAAGTTCCTGGGGGCCCCATAAAACTTTGTTTCCATGTATGGTTAATACAACTATTCCTTATTTGTGCACATTAATTATGTTTTTGATCAAAATCCTTTGGCTAAAATGCCATCAGAACACTGATAAATAGAGAGGAAGAGAGGGACAACACCTAGAACAGATAATGGATGTCTATTCTATTAACATTTCTCTATCTGTAGAATGGGTCTGTTTTATGTGTTGTCTTCTCAGAGGGCCCCTTGCCTGTCTTTGCCTAGGGCCTCAAGTTTCCTAAATTCGCCTCTGCGTATAATCAAGGATCGTTCAGTGTTTTTTCAGCATAGCAGGCTGCTGGTCATGTTGAAATGTTCCTCCTTTTTTGCATATTTCATGAGAAAAGCTCTATGAAAACATGAAGCCCTTCAGACTAAGTCATCAACGTAAACTCACTCTGAATGTGTTTGCAGGCAGGTGAACACATGTGCTCCCAACCTATCAGCAGAAAAGGAGCAACTTTAGAAACCAGAGGTGAAATGTCGGTGCTCTGAAAGATTCCCAAACGGCCATTTTGTCAAACCAAATGGGCATAAAATGCATTTTTTATTTTTTTGCTGCGCATAGCCCACCCACCTTGACTACAGGTGGAGCAGCAGGAGGTCTCACTGGGTCATTCTCATAGTGTTTATTATGGAGAGAAGAAGGAAAAACAGAAAGCTGATATGGTTGCAGCACAACATCCACACTCACAAAATGTCCTGTGAGAACCGTATGATTAAAAAAAAAGAAAACAAATTCTACTGTCCTTAAAACTGACATTTACTGCGATCGCTTCTTCAATTTCCTTATGACTGTTGATATAATCTCAGAAGCAATATATTGTAAACCTAACATAACTAATAAATTTAAGAAATAAGATTTAAGATGCAACCAGTTGTAAAATAATCCTTCTAATACTTGAGAATGGGCATTGAGTCCATGCTTGATATTTAAAGTTGACCCTGCCCTGCCTCCGTATTTCTCAGACTCAAACTTAAAAAAAAAAAATGAATCAAAAGAAATGCCTTGAAATAACTTATTATCACTAAAAGTAACAGCAGAGTTTCTCTTTTAAAAGAGGCTGATCCTGTCTGCTGGAAAAACATCTTATTTAGTGTATTTTAATCCACAAAAAACTCAATCCTACGTAATAAATGATATTTATCAATTTCAACATATTGGACAAACTGATGCTGAATGATAACGTATATATATCTAATCTATTTACCAACAAAAAAGTTACGGACACTAATATTGCACAAAATCAGATAAATTATTGAGTACCAGGGTGTTGATTCTATGCTTGTTGTGAGAGATTGCTGCAGAGTAAACAATTCTATGCTTTTATAGAATACCTTTTGACCGATCAGTCTGTATGATGTCATAATTGTCTTTGCAGAGTGCTTTGAAATGTGTTGTTGAACACTGTAAAAAATGATTTGAACAAGAACTTGGCTTGTTATGAAATAAGTATTCCTTGTATGCAAAACAACTTTCTTTCAGACATTTTTTAGCCTTGCAGGTGAAACAGACTAAGAAAAAAAATCTTTCACTGGATAAATTGCATAACTAAATATATAAAACAAGAGAAATGTAACTTAACAATTAGATCAATTTCCTTTTTTCTAAACTATTAATGTTACACATCTAAGGTTATGTGAAAGATCAATTGTTATTTATGTCTTTATTCTATTTGACCCTCCTGCTGTGATGAACAAGCAGTAGCAGCTGCTGTGGTTGATATGATTGTTTGGTGAAGGAGTGAGTAGTGAAACCTTCAATTAACGCTTATATTTATTGAAGATTGTTTCTGTTTAGGTTTAAAAAACTCTTTTTGAAACCAGAAAACTGTGCTTTTCATTTTTGAGCGAGTTGAAAACCTCCTCCTGAAAACTACTCTGGCATTTTTTTGAGTTTTTTAAACTTATGAGTTTGCAAGAGTAGCTCCAGCAGGTAGAAAAACTTCACTGATGATTTGAAGAAGGTTGGTGGATCCAGCTGATCACTAAAGTAAGCAAAGCTGTTGGTTTTGGAAAAGGATTCCAGCAAAGAAGGATGTTTGTTGATGAACTTTTTCAGAAGTGAAGTGTGTGATCATTAATGAGGTCTGACCCTGGAGAACATCTTAAACATGGATGCAGCTATAAAGACACCGGGTTTGCTTAAGAGAAAGTGTATTTTTATGGAGATTTCCAAAGGAAAACCAAACCAGACTAAAGCTGTTTTCACCTTGTGTAATGTGTGATTGGTTTACAGCAGGAGTTCTTCCAGTCTCCAGTACCAACTGAAGGCAGGTTACGTGATTTAAAATTTCATTTCACCACGAATTATTAGAACATTATGTTCCTGATGATTGCTTGGGTGAATGTGGGTAAAGTTGGACGCCTTTTGAAAAAGTAGCTTCTGTGGTGTTTATTTAGCCTATTTCATTTCTAGAGTTAGAAAGGAAATAGGCTTAGAAATGAATGTCTGCTGTTCTCACCTTCTTCCAGTCTGAGGCGCTGCAGCCTCCACACCACACAGTGAGACAGCTGCTCAGAACGCTCTCTATGGTGCTTCTGGAGAAGGTGGGGGGGATGGGTGGGGCAGGAAGTCCAAGCGCTTCTGGGCCCTTTGGACCAGTGAGGTGGTGTTTCCAGTCCAGGTGAGGGTGTCTGTGATGAATGTGGTGCTGCTGACCACCTCTACAGCTGAGCTGTTGATGAGCAGTGGAGCGTGGTTAGGCCGCTTCTTCCTGAAGTCCACCATGATCTCCTTGGTCTTCTCCACCTTCAGGATCAGGCTGTTATCTCTGCTCCACCAGCTGCTCCACCTCCTCTCTGTAGTTGGTGGTGAACCTGGGGACGCAGTCGTGCGTCATCAGGGTGAACGGCAGGGGGCTCAGGACACAGCCCTGAGGGGAGGGGCTTAGACTGATGACATCATCGTTCTGTCCGACCCGCACTGACCGAGGTCTGTTGGTGAGGAAGTCTAGCAGCCAATAGCAGAGGGGTGTATTGAAGCCCAGCTGTTCCAGTTTGCCCATCAGATGCTGTGGGATGATGGTACTGAAAGCTGAACTGAAGTCCAGGAACAGCATCCATCGTGGGTGTTCTTCTCCTCCAGGTGTGCCAGGCTCAGGTGGAGAGCAGCAGAGATGGCGTCCTCAGTGGAGCGGTTCCGTCGGTAGGCGAACTGGAACGGGTGGAATGTTGGACTGGAGACGATGTGTTCTTTAACCAGCCTGATCTGAGTCTATTTCCTCCTGCCAGCTGCAGCAAATGTTCTGTCTGACCTTTTGTTGATTATCATGGTCTATGTTACATTTCCAGTTCTCATCTTTAGCAAAATAAAACACATCAAAGCCATTTTTTATTAACCTGGGCACAAACAAAACATTTATCACAATGATCAGCAAAATTCAAATCAAATGAACTGATTAAATCACTCACCATAATGCAGGGCAGCTGTGACCTGTACTGATAACGAACTTCGTCTTTTTTAAAAGTGTTGCGTTCTGCTCCTCATCTACATGTTAACAGCTGCCACCCAGCTAACCAACAACTGTTTATACGCGCAGGATGCTAACTCTTTCTACCATAAATCTTTCTCTTTCCCACTCATTCACAAAACTGTAAATTCTGGGACATCCCAGAATTTCTAATGGGAGGCAGATCTTTTCGCTAACGGGTCCAAAATGGAGGCTGTCTCAGGAAATCAGGGACGTCTGGTCACTTTAGCCCAGAGGGACCAGCCTCCTGGGGTCAAGCAAAGGAAAGAGCTTCCATGGAGGTTTAGAGGAAACCACTGAGAAGCAGGTAAGAGGATTTTTCTAACTGTGGAGGAGCTGCAGAGATTAGCAGCTCTAGTAGAAAAACCTTCTAGATCTGTCCCAAAATTTGGCCTTTCTGTAAAACCAGGATGAAGAAGTTGTTCTGGTCAAATGAGAACAAACAGGAGGTTTTTGGTCAACAAGCTAAACGTCATGTGATGGAAAAACTAGCCAGACTCAAACATTCTGTGGAGAAATCAGGTCAGGGATGATTGACCTCAAAGATGTCACTGTTGGTTCAGAACTAGAAAGGCTTTATTGTCTCAGCAGGAGGCATTAATGTTAACACAATCATTTTCATCCGATCATCCTATAATAGTACATTATTGGTAGAGTGATTCTCCCCATTGCTGCGTCTGGGAGGCCTGGTTGCTTCATCTTAATGAGCAGCATTAGTGGAAACGGAGTGGAATCCAGAAACAGGACTTTCAGTTTATTAGTCACTCAATTCAATTACTTCCTGTTTTGTGCTGATTCATGGTTTAAACCGCAGCTTCAGAGTGTTCCACTGAACTTTGAGCATCTCTGTGTTTACAGCAGGTGTGTAACATCTAAAAATATCCAACACCTCAGGAGGAGAGCACCATTGTCTCCTGTCGGCTGCACAGAGAGGAGAAATGTGGAGCTTATTTACATCTATTTACATGTTTAGCCTCCTATGTGTGCTTTCAATTCCATATTCATTCTGGATATATAAAAGCAATATGAATTGATCCTTATTGTGTTTGTACAACTTTCAACATCTGGATTTGTTCATTTACTCCATGATGCAGCAGAAACGACATGCAAGCCCTTAAACACAATGCTGTAGGTCTTAATGTACTTAGGAAGTAGAAACTGTAAAATAAGCCAACAGGAGGCTAGTTTACTTTATTACATAGGCCATGCTTCTATCTTATGTAGATTAATAAAAGTGCAAGAAAGCAGACATTCGTCAGAAAATGCAAAAGAAAAGTGTGTTTAAAAAAGCATTCAGATCATTTTAAAAGTGAGCAGTAGTTAAAGCAGCCGCTAAGATGGCGGCTGGCGGCTTTTTACCGACTAGAATGGAAGGAAGTCTGCAGTCCTGCTTAGAGATCAGAGGAAGGCGGAGAGATTAGCTGCCGTCAAGCTGCCGCTCACGTTGTAAACGTGCAGCTCCTGATCGCTGCTGTAGTAAGGCAGGTAATGGGCCACATCTGCAAGCGTCTGCAGGATGTCGTAAGTCACAGCAAACAGGAAGTAGGTGGGCAGCAGCCAGGTGAGGCTAAACATGCAGTCACCCACAGGCAGCGGGACGGCCAGGTGCCTGAAAAAGGAGAGAGAGGAGGCTGAATGCAGCGCAGGGAAAGCTCTGGTAGGTACTGATGGAGCTGACATCTCTGGTACTCACTGGAAGCGGTCTTCTCTGGACTCCCTCAGCATGATGAAGACAAACAGTCCCACCTCAGTGTTGAGGGAAAACGAGACAACTTTGTCCAACATGACAACAAACCCCTGAGGCAGACAGAACACGTTATAAACCCATGTGGTGCTGAAGCGTGTGTGTAGTTACAGCAGAGCAAGAAGGTGTGTTTGGTGTTTCACTATGAAGTGAGGACCGTTTCTAGGTGGAAACCATTAAAACCAGTACTGGAGATGTTGGGGTTTAGCTCAGGGGAAGGGATGGAAATAAACGGAAGTCTGTGCATGGTCCTCAGTGAGTCTATGAAACAAGAATGTGTGAGTGCGTGTGTCTTGGCATTAAAGTGAGGACATTTTGCAGGACATTGTTGCGCAGCTAAAAGGGGACAAATGAGCGTTTTCCCTTTAAATGAAGAACGGCTGCTGGTGGAGAAATAGAAAAGACGACGGTGGATCGTTCTACATTCTACTGCAACTGATCTGATCTGCTGGATAGTTGAATCCTCTCATTATCTGCTCCTGCTAAGCACAGCGTGCTCAAAACTATCAAAAGGACTTTTTAAGTGGATCTGAGATGGTAAGTAGATGGATACTTTTAGCATCGCATTAAGACCAGTAGGACTTTGTGTGTAGGTTGTTTCCTAATGCTAATCTGGAAGCACGGCAGACATATTTACATCAGAGTGTCCCTACATTCCACTGAGCAGATGTGATCGGTCTTAAAGGGGAAAGTTGCCAATAGGAAGACGTTACTGGATATAACCTAACGGAATATCTTCAGAACGGCTCAAAACTCATATGGGTGATTAGAACATGATGGAATAACGGAAAATCAAGGGACCAATGTAAAAAAAAAAAACGGTGCTCCCCTTTAACACACCAAGGGATTATCTACCCGATTATCAGGGCCTCTTGGAAGGTGAGATTTGGGGAGTAATTCCTGTCTGAACGGTGATTAAGTTAGAATAAAGTATGAACTACAACAGGTAAGGTGTAAGAAAGGGTTAAACATGACTTCAAATTAGATAGTCCTCACTACATATAGAAAGAAGAGAGAATGTGTGTGTGTGAGTGACAGTTACCCTGGGATCACACATGGACACAATGAAAATGATCCCAAATGCAAGCAGGGAGAGTCCCAGTCTGGCTGAACTGGAAAACAAGAGAGAAACCAATTTGATCAAAATCTAAGAAGTTTCTAGAAATTCCTTCTTTCATCTCTGGAATATTATAAAAATTGAAATATCGTCTCCAGTGGTGATGGTGAAAAACTAGTTCATGAGAAGGTCAACAAGGTTTCTTCCTGTTAAAGGAGGAGTTTTTCCTCTCCACTGTCACTGCATGTATGATCAGTGTGAGGGATTGCTGTAGTCAACACCAAAATGCAACTGCATATCTACTGTCAAGCAATGAACATACAGAAGAAGCAAATCCAGCAAAGTCAGTGACTGACGCCATCAGCTGGTTTTCCTTGGATAGAAACTTTGAACCAATCTGACCTGGATTATCTGATATCTGTACAGAAACTATCCAATCAGCGCTATAGAAATAATCTGAATAAATCCACTGTAAGGACAGTGGCCTTTTAAGGCAATATGAGTTAGCAAATCTAGAATGATAATTTTGAAAGTAAAGTAAAATATAGTAAAGAAAACACTGATAAAAAAAAACTTATCTTATTTGAGACTGAAGAAAAAGCTCTGAGAGAAAATATTTTGTCATAGAATAAATAAGATAAATTAACATTTGTAAAAGTATTTCCAAGGGAAAAGACTTGTCTCAAAAATATATTTTTACTCTCAGATATCAGTTCTAATAATTTCACAAATAAAAATTTACCCTTGATTTGAATGGAATTAATAAACTATAACTTCCAGTTCTAGTTATGTACTATATTAATAATCTTCTGTTAAAAAAAGCACAACAGTGATTTGTAAGAATCAGGAAAAAATCTTTTGTCATCATTAAGCCTAAATCCTAATGTGATTTTTCTGAATTTGTTTCTTTAGCAAATCTATCTTTAACAAATATATAATATATATCTAGGATTAATCTTTAATCACTTTAATCTTTTAATATTTTAATGTGTCGGTAATGAATACAGCTGCTTGTGGCCGTGAGGATGACCCACCACTTAAAATATGCATTTATGGTATACATTTAAATATTTTACAATAGAAAGAATAGAATTTTTCATCATAAAGGCTTAAATTAAGTAATTCTTCAATTAACGGTTCACAGTCTCCCTCTTGTGGTGTTATTGAGGAACTACAACTGTTTGTGATTAGTAAGAATCAGGAATAATCTTTTGTCATCATTAAACCAAAATCCCAACGTAAATCTAACATGACAAAGAATACGTTTTTTTATATATTTGTTTTGCAAATATATCTTATTTATAGCAAATAAATCTAGAATAAATATTATGTAATATAATAAATATATTATGTCTATTTCCTTTCAGTATAAGCATTTTTAAACCAACATATTTGAGGATTTCTAAGACAGAATATTTGTAAAAGTAAAATGCAAATCCAATGTTTTAACATTTAAGTGATTTGATTAGCCATGTTTTAGGTTATATTTTCAACTCTAATCATATGAATGTTAACATAACATACAAAAAAATTATTTCATTTAAATAACTAAATTTAGTACGAGGATGAGATAAACTCAGGAAAAAAGTTTAGATTTGTTAAAGGAATAGTACACCCAAAACATGATTAGACTTCATTTTCTACTCACCCCCATGCTGAACAACACTCTGGAGTACTTTTTTGATATCTCAAATGCATCTGGAGATCTGGGAGGCTTCTTGCTGTCTGCTGACATTCAAATAATGGAGGTCTATGGCGCCCGAGGCAGAAAGGTCCATAAAAGTCCACAAAAAACGTGTCATATTCCTCCATACTGCTCGTCCAATGTATTCCAAGTGTCCTGAGTGGGTAGCGTCCATAATTTACTCGAAACGAAGTCATTTAGAATGTTTTTAGAGCATAAACAGTAGTGTATAGGATTTCCTGAAAGCTCGCGCCGGCGCGTTCATGACGCTACGGAAACCGCGGCAGACCAAACCAGATGAAAGTGCGCATTCAGCTCGGCAAAGAACTCATGCTCTTCCTCAACACTGAAGTCCTCAGACATTTTTCTTTCGTTGTTTCTTTCTTTGCACAGGTAAACAGCACATTTCTTCTTCTACGCTTGCATTATCGGCAGAGCAGACGCTGAATGCGCACTTTCATCTGGTTTGGTCTGCCGGCTTCCGTAGCGTCATGAACGCGCTTTTAGGAAATCCTATACACTACTGTTTATGCTCTAAAAACATTCTAAATGACTTTGTATCGAGTAAATTATGGACGCTACCCACTCAGGACACTTGGAATACATTGGACGAGCAGTATGGAGGAATATTGACACGTTTTTTGTGGACTTTTATGGACCTTTCTGCCTCGGGCGCCATAGACCTCCATTATTTGAATGTCAGCAGACAGCAAGAAGCCTCCCAGATCTCCAGATGCATTTGAGATATCAAAAAAGTACTCCAGAGTGTTGTTCAGCATGGGGGTGAGTAGAAAATGAAGGCTAATCATGTTTTGGGTGTACTATTCCTTTAAGTTAGAAAAAATATATAAAAAATTAGATATATGCATTTTTCAATATTTACCACGTTTATAAATACATAAAACCCCATTTTGTGAACAAAGATTAAAAAGTTTTGAGCTCTTTTAGATGAAATATGGAACCTGTCACATGAACCATCGTTTAAAATAGCTGCAAGTCAGACCTCTCTGTTTGCTAAGTGTCTTCTTTATTAGACATGTTTGTGCTTCTTACATTACCTGTCTGTTCAGCACAGTAGATCGAGTCTTCCTTCACATAGATTAACAGTGTGTGATTAAAGGGACTATCTAATTAGGACAATTAGTACAAACGGTCCAACCCAGGGGCCAGATTAATAAAGAACACGTCTGTAATCCTGGGGCCAACATGTAGCAGAGAATGAGGCAGAGTTTTGATAGCATGTCAGGAACTGACGCGCCCAGCTAAGCTTCCACCTGATGCAACATAGACTTACGAGCTATTAGAAGCAGGAGTTGACCTGTTTCATGGCACAGTTTCTGGATGCCACCAAATTGAGCCCACAGCTGATCCAACTGGCTGCGATAGCTCTGCTCTGAAGCAGTCTGATCTGGATTAAATCCTGGTAAACTTTTATTCTGGCCTTCAGTCATTTTCTGGAACATAGTAGTTTCTCCCAGGAAAAGAACTGGGAGGGGAACTCTGAGGTGCAGACGCCTTCAGGGGGCAGAAGCTTCCTCGACATGTTTTTCCGGTCAGTGTTACCTTCTTGGTGAGCAGCTGTGATGTTTGTTTGGTGAGTTTTTCTCCCAGGCTTTAGAGAGCCACTCCAGGCGTCCGCTCCACAGAGAGCTCACCAGACCATCAACTGGATAAAGAAAACAAGGCTTAGATTGCTGGAGGACAAAGGGACCACTTTTCATGTGTCTCTCCACCATTGCTGCAGGCATGCTTGGTGTGAGGGATTGCTGTCAGGTCAACAACAACATGCAAGACAATATGTAGTGTCTCCACATGCTCATCCAGGAGGAGAAAACCCTGCACAGCCCGTGACCGATGCAATCAGCTGGTTTTACTTAGATACAAACTTTGAATCAATGTGACTGAATCATTGGGGAGTGGCGGCCCAGTCGTTAGGGCATAAAGCTTGGAATCCTGAGGTTGTGAGTTCAAGCCCCGCTCCCACAGACTGCCACTCATGGTCTCTGAGCAAAGCCTTACCCCCACACTGCTCCCTGGGTGCCACACAATGGCAGCCCACTGCTCCCCAAGGGGATGGATAAATGCAGAGGTACATTTCTCTAATGTGAGATCAATAAAGTTCCAATTCCAATTATCTCATTGGATTTTATTCTGTTTTATGAATTGGTGCTATAATTATAAACTAATTTAACCCAAACTGAGTCTGACTGAGATTAACTCTAAACTCTGTAATCCTGAAATGGACGAGATGAACTCACTGGTGTGTTTCATAGCAGATCCCATCACCAGGAAGGACACGGTGACGCTGATGGCGATAAACACCTGAATCAGCTCGGCCACCCAGGAGAAGGCCCTGTACCGCTCATTAATGATCTACATTGGGGGGGGGGTGATGAATGGTGTTCAAAATGAAAAACAAAGAAGCACATGTTGGATTTTTTAATAAACAAAGAACTTTTTAAATAATCACAGGTCTTGTTATATTTATATAATATTCTATAACTGATTTCTGACCCCAGTTTTATGAAAATTCAGAGTTTTAAAGCCTTTAGAAGCAGAACCTAAAGCACCTGCATGTGTTTTTATATATTTATAGCAGTTTAACATTTTCACTCTTTATAAAATGACAGCTAAGAACTGAGGGCGGCGTCCCGTGTTCATGCAGCGTTCTAGGAGGCCGTTTGGCTGCATCCATCCTCCCATTAGCAGGGATGAACAGCCCTCCTGTAGCAGCTCAGATCTAGTTTAAAGTATTAAAAACCTCTTCGGTTTTCTGACCCGTCTGCTTTCTTCCTTGGTTAGTTTTGTTTCCCTAATGTTCTCTAACAAACTGCCGAGGCCGTCACCCGGCAGCTGGATTTTAACTGAGACTGAATTGCAAACAGATTTAGAGGAATCAGATTTCAGGAAGGCAGGTTACAGTTTTCTGATGTTTATTTGGATGTAATATTTAAATCCATGTTTAGTTTTCCTTCCCCTTTGCAGTCATGCTCCTCTCTGAGTCTGTCTGTGGTTTACTGTGTTTCAGTGCAGGGAGCGCAACGCGTGGAGAGAATAAACGTAGATTGACTCATTCCCTTTCAGGCTGTATGACCTGGAACTGGGACTAAATGTGTTTGCCAGCCCCCGCAGCTCAGAGCGGCATGTTTTCATCAGCACCACAGGTGTCTGTTTACAGGACAGAAACATTGTTTTCTGCTTAATTGGATCCAAACACAGGTGGATCACATTTTTGCTACAGTTGACTTCATCATTTATTATAATCTGGCTCTGCGTGGGTCTCCGTTCGCTTACGGGCTGCAATAAACCTTTGCAGCTTTTCATCACATTCATTTATGTCTGGCAGAATAAAAATCTCAGGAAAACACAAAACATTAGTAAAATGGAAAATGTTTTATAACACAAAGAAGAAAATTACTGGAGTTTAAAAAGAGCATAACTTCCCATTACTTTGGTGTCTTGATGTTGAGAAACTAGTCCATGCATTTGTTACTTCAAGGCTGGACTATTGTAATTCTTTACTATCAGGAAGTCCACAAACTGTAGTTAAAAGCCTTCAGCTGATCCAAAATGCTGCAGCCAGAGTTCTGATGAAAATGAAAAAGAGAGATCATATCTCTCCTATCCTGGCTTCTCTTCATCGGCTTCCTGTTAAATCCAGAATAGAATTTAAAATCCTCCTTCTCACATATAAAGCCTTAAATGGCCAAGCTCCATCTGATATCAGAGATCTGATTGTTCCTTATGTTCCTAACAGAGCACTTCGCTCTCAATCTGCAGGTTTACTAGTGGTTCCTAGAATTTCTAAAAGTAGAATGGGAGGCAGATCTTTTAGTTAAACTTTCCTTTTTGATAAAGTTTATAGTTAGAGTGGCTCAGGTTATCCTGATCTATCTCTATAGTTCTGCTGCTATAGGCTTAGACTGCTGGAGGACATAGGGACCCCTTTTTCATCATTCTGCTTCATTCTATCTCTATTCTCCCACTAAATCCAATATTCTGTTCTTCACAGCTGGACTTTTTGCTGAGATGTTTGAGTTTTCATGGTAACCTAGATTCATTTATGCAGAATGACATTTAAAGGCCTTTTCAGTTTTCACAACGATACCACAGAAGAGAGCATGAAGTCTTACCTTTGTCAGGGGAATGGTAGCTATCTCTCCAGCTTTTTCAGATCTGAGAGGAGAAAATAGACAAAGATTGCTTCCATCAACAAAACTATTACTTATCATATAGTATATAGGGCTCTTCAGTGAGCCCCAGGGCAGCTGTGGCTACAACGTAGCTTTCCACCATCAGTGTGTGAGTGAATGGGTGAATGAATGTGGTGTAAAGCGCTTTGGTAAAGTCTCCTGACTTGAGAAAAAGGTGCTATATAAGTATATGCCATTTACCATTCTATATATAGCTTGTAAATATTAACATTTTGCAGAGACGAATCAAAGGACATCGAATCAGTAAAGTGTGCAGGACAGGGTTTAAATGTCTTTAAGTCTGATTCTTAGCAATAAAAGCCGGTTTTAAGTCTTTGATTCTTTGAACGTAAGTTCAAACTACACTGGTTAGGAAAAAGTGAATTAGGATGTTTATCACATATTTATTCAAAAACTCCCATCACTTTATTTAGGGCAATCAAATGAACTATTTTGCAGGATAGCTTTCACCATTAACCTAAAGTAACTGATCGTCTCTTCAGCATTTCAATAAGCTCTCTATGTATGGAGTGAGTTTCAGAGGTGGAAAAAGTACTAAAAAATTGTAATTGAGTAAAAGTATCTTTACTTTGCCTAAATTCTACTCAGAGTAAAAGTAAAATTACCCATCTCAAAATTTACTCAAGTAAAAGTACAAAATTACTTCATTTAAAATGTAATTTGAGTAAAAGTTACTTAGTTACTTTGAGTTATTTATTGCAAAAAAAGGATGAGTCATGGCACAAGGTGTTTTAATCGATTTTAAGGCGTATTTCAGTGGAAATCCACACTGCAAAAGATCAGCTGGGCTAAAGAACAAACTTCCTCACAACCTGAACCATTAAGTGTTTCTATCCTACTGTCCTACTGTCCAACAGACAACACCATGATAGGAATAAAGAAATTTAAACTACATTATAAAGTTTTTAAAATGCACAAAAAATTAAATACCCAAAAGATACCAGAAATCAAACTAAAACGCAACAGGATGCCACTGTTATTAACAAGCTCCTCATTTAATGCTTTTAACTGACACTTATTTTTACATCAATTGTTTATATGTTTGAATTGCGTAAATAAAGTGCTGTTAAAAGTCAAAAGTCTTCTTCTATTTTTTAATGGCGATTAAGTGTCGGTTCTGTGACACAGGGGTTTAAATTTCCGGCCGCATTTAATTTTTTCACCATCAGTATTTTTTATTTCTACTCAGTAACGTGAGGGGGGTTTAAAATGTAGCGAAGTAAAACTACTTAGGTTAAAATTTACTCAAGTAAACGTAAAAATTACATATTTCAAAAACTACTCAGAAAATTACAAATTACTCATAAAAAGTACTCAATTACAGTAACTTGGGTAAATATAATTCATTACATTCCACCCCTGGTGAATTTGCTCCTTTATTATTAAAAGCAAAAGAAGAAGTTTAATAACTGAAAATTCCATGAATGAAAATAGCAAAAAAACGTCTGAATAGAAGGTTAAGATTAACTGCGCTGTTTTCTTAGATGAATCATTATTCTTTTTAATATCTTATTTCACTTTTAAACAGACTTTATATATTCGGATTGTATTTTTTCAAATTTTTGTATTTCAGGTTAAGTTTTAGAAATTGTGGGCTTTCCTCTGTAGGGAGAAGAAATGTTAACAACAACATTTTTATTCAGCTTGAAGTGAAGACAATGTTATCTGTAAAAAAACAATTAAATAAGAATGCAACTGAATATCACTCCATCTAAAAAAATATATTTCTTTGAGAATCATATTCAGGCAGTGCGGTAAAGCTACTAATGTGGAAGAAGTCGGACCTAAACTGCTGGAAGACGGACATTGAACAGCAGATCAAACTGCTTCACTGTTTATTTCTTTATCCAGATGTTTTCTCTGTAATGGATGAGTCCACTGAGTTCTTCTCATGTATTTCCATAAATAATTAACTAGATGAATAAAAATACACATTTACTTATTAGAGAAGCAAGGCCTTCAAAACTTTGTTTTCTTTGGATTTTTTGGAATCTTTTTGTTTGGTTTTGTAATGCGTAATAAACTCTGACCTGGTCCTTTAACTCCTGCAGTGGATCCACATTAATACAGTAAAAGAATCATATAAGATTTATAATCTTAACAAGTTAAAGAAAGTCTGAGAATTAGTGCTAATTTTTTTTACAGATTCTTGCAACATTCATGCTGTTTTGATGCCATTTGTTCGAGAGCTCCGATCATTTAGATGCTACAGCTTTTAAACCGACTGAACTAATTTCCTTCATCAGTGAAACATTAACTATATTTGAACCATAAAGGGTCTTATCTGTTAATAACGGGCGTTTCCTGTCATGCACCTTTCTGCGAACTCAGAGGAACAATGTTCCACCAGAACAGTTTATTGTATTTATTCATTTATTGGTTGATTTGGGAGGGAAAGTACACATTAATAAATATTTCTGTAAATGTTGCTGGTTAGCGTATGAAGCTAACTGGTTAGCTGCTCTGCTGTCTGTAGTAAAGAAAACTACGGAGTACAGACGACTAGTTAGTCGTTTTATTTTAGGGACTTTTATAACTTAGCTAACATCCTTTATCAAATAAGCAATTAGACCAATCCGGGGACTTTTCTCTGTGTTTTGGGCAACTTTAGCAACTTCAAAAGAAAGTTGCAATTAATAAAGAAAACAGTAAAGTGGGTTTAATGCAGAGATTATATAAAACAAAACCGTTTTTATATTCAGAGTATTTTTTTTCTCTGAAACTGTTGACAAAAATAATTTTGTGATCGCCACACAGCTTGAATCCCTTCTTCACCTCATTAAGCGTCTGCCTCTGATTGCTGCCTCTTTGCTATAATTAGATGAATGCAGGCTGGATTCAGGCCACGGATAAACGTTCATCCATTGGTTCATAAAGTCAGATTAACATATGCTGCATTTCAACAACGCATCAGCCACCAAAACAAATCAGTCGTAGTTTAACACACATCTCTGCAGCTTCTCTACTGTTACCCACTCTTTACTCCATCCAGACAGTGTCTTGCCCACTATCAAAATCTAATAAATTAGCAAATATTCCCAAAGGAGTAAATCATGATAATCTAATTAAAATCAAAATAACTTCAATTGGGGGAAAAGTTAAAACAATTAAATGCGGTCTGTTTAACATAAGATCGCTTTCCTCTAAAAGTCTACTAGTTAATGACTTGATTTGTGATAATCACATTGACTTGTGTTGCCTTACAGAAACCTGGCTGCAGCAAGAGGATTATGTGAGCATAAATGAGGCAACTCCTTCAAGCTATTTAAATTTTCACATCCCCAGAAGTTCTGGGCGAGGAGGAGGAGTAGCAACAATCTTCGAGTCTGACTTACTGATTACTCCCAAAACAATTAATACCTACAACTCTTTTGAACATTTAACCCTTAATTTCCCTGATCCAAATTTCAAGGCAAGAAAACCTCTTCTTTTTGTAACTTTGTATCGTCCACCAGGTCCTTACTCTGAATTTTTAGATGAGTTTTCAGAGTTCCTTTCTGATTTGGTATTAAATACTGACAGGGTCATCATAGTGGGAGATTTTAACATCCATGCTGACATTGAAGGCGATAGCTTAAGAGCAGCCTTTAATGCTATCTTAGACACTATTGGCTTTGTTCAAAATGTGAATAGTCCCACACATTCTCATCTTCATACTTTGGATCTTGTGCTGACATACGGCATAGAATGTGAAGAAATAACAGTATTTCCTCACAACCCTGTCCTCTCTGACCACTTTCTAATAACCTTCAGGATTACTTTAACAGAGTTCTCCTCCCCCAAAAGGAGGTTTTCCTTAGATAGAAAACCTTGAATCAATTTGACTGTATTGTGAATTGACTTGTGTTGTGAATTGGCGCTATATAAATAAACTGAATTGGATTGAAATCTAACAGCAGTAGTCGACATCAAAGTAGCTAACTGGTACAAACAGTTCCAGGCCAATGAGTCCATATTTAAGGACAGTACAGTAATATGAAAGGGTTAAACTGTTTTACACTTTACAGATATGTTGTTGTTGGCTGCCACTGAATACCCACACACAGGCATGATTAATCATAAAGCAGGTTTGTGCTGCTCTACAGTCCAGAGGCGGCCTGTTTCACAGCCCTGCGTCTGAAACGTTGCATCGCTCGGTGAAATGAGGTCAGGATGCAGCTTCTCTGCCAGGGGAACAAAGACATCTTTATTAAATATTCAGCAGTAAGAGCCATGATTCAGGTTTATTCAACACTGTTTAGGATGCATAAAGGAGGGAAAGGTGATCTCTGGCCCGCTGTGTTCAAATCTTCCAACTAGCAATAAGGAAATGTCCTGATAAAGAGCTGACAGAAAGGTGTTGTGAAAGTTACACACCCGGGTCAGAGGAGCACATCTATAAGCCAAGAGGGAATAAACACCATGCACTGTCCCAGAGTTTCACTTTACACAACAATAGAAAGTAAAAAAAAAAGGTCAAAACCATAAATAAACACTAACATGTAGGAGTGGTAGAATAGTTTGAAATATTGGATCCAATGGACTCCGACTCTGGGTCCCTGAGCCAGACCCTGCACCTATGAATGCTCCCTTTGCTCCTGTCTGCTCACTAAAGACCCGGTCACACCTTGATGATTTAAACCAGCCTGAGGTACAAAAAATCTAGCAAACGCTGGCATACGTTGGATAAGTTATGGGTACGTTATGAGCACGCTGAAACATGTCGACATGCGGCGAGTACGTCTGTCAGCGTCTGCCATCCGTGGTCCATCAGTTCCAGGTCAGTTATCTGATGGTTGACATCCGTTCAGTGTCAGTTCCTCATCAGTCGTGGCGTCTAGCTGATCCTAAACCTCTGAGTAACTTCTGCGTAACTTATCCAGAACTTCTCTCCAACGGATATCAGCGTATCTGCCGTGTTCCAGACGAGCGCTGAACGTGTTTCTAACTTCCAGCTACTGTATAATGGCGTATTGGCAGCGTTTTGGTATAAAGGGGGTTCACAGGAGGAAACCGTCAGTTCTCCTCCAGACTTCATC